GGATTAGATAAAGTTAGCTACTGACTGGCAGATGAAAATAAATTACCAGTGGCTGAATGGCAATCTGTTTATCATGTGAAAGGGATCTCTCTGCTGACTGGTATTATCAGTCATTTGTTGTTGTTCCCTTCGGTCCCGATTGGCAAGTCTCCATTTCGTCCGGTTCTATACCTTCCCCTTTAGCTGGCTCCATGATCGCCCATAGGGACCCACCTCCTCTTCACATAACCTCCTCAATGTCACCCTCCGACCCACACTCAAATCACTGTCTCCCATTTGGACTCCACTCAAAAGCCTGACACGCTATATCACCCGATGGTCGCCTCAGCGTGTGCCCGATCCATCTCCACTTTCTTCCACATATTTGTTGAGCAACAGGTTCTTGATTGGTCTGTCCCTAGAGTGTCTTGCTGCTAATTCTTTCTAGCCACCTGACCTTCGGCAAGGAGCTAGCGAGGGGATTCCTGTTGATAAAAGACTGCAATGGCCTGTCGGAAATGTTTCTTGTGATGTACCAAGTTTCTCACCCATATGGAAGCAGTGACTGACTTAAGATTTGTGTTGAAAATCGGAATATTGCTCTTTACGCTGAGGAGTGCATCAGATTTCCACGATGATTTCAGAGTGATGAAGCTCTACCCCGCCTCTCTGATCCTGATTCTAACATCCTCATCCGTGCCGACTCCCTGTAGTTAAGACAATACTGCCCATATAAGTGAAGGCGGTGACCACTATCAAATTTCTCCCGTTGACAGTAGTTGTTGTTGTTGGTTGGTGGGTTGGTTATTTTCATCACCACCGTCTTCTCTAAGTTCACCAATGTTTCCTTAGTCACATGTTCTTAGTCTGTTGTTTATGAGGTGTTTCTTTAAGAAAATTGACCTCTATGGGTTTCTTTCTCAGTAGCGTTTTAACTGTCGTATAATTTATTATCATTTCTCTGAAGATGTTAATTTTATACTACTTAAATCTCTTTATAAGTAACACATTTCATAGTACTAAAATTGTTTAAGAAATTGTAATCGACTTCATGAATGTCATGATTACGTAACACCTTTTAGTTAGATGATGAAATTTGGTCAGACAGAAGAATAAGTTTCTGTCAGTGGTATGAGGATGGTCCAATACTTTAAAGTAGAGTGTCATCGTGTAATACTGGTGATCTAGTAAAATGAACATGCCCTTCTTCACAAGGAACAAGATCCGAATTCTTCATACTAATACAATGTCGGTTGTTGTGTATGTTTTACGTGCCATCAAAAGCATTAGCAGAATTCATAAAGACAAGATTTATCGGGATCATGAACTGACGGTTAGTGATTTAACTTCAAATAATTGAAATCCCAACCTAATGGATACTGATTACGTGATGAAGTTCCTGGAATTCTAGTAATGAGTTGTGACCAGTTGGTCCCACCAATTCTGGCTGGAGGAAAATACTCGTCAATCTCCCTGAAAAGCAGGGGTTTCATATATCAATAATAGATTCCGTTGCAATGGCTGAATGGTCAATTGGTCGGTCTCATAGGCTAAAGGTCATCCGTTCAATCCCTATCGGTGTCCACTAGGCTAACTCGCGACGACGGCCTACCCACTTGTGTACCAGTTATCCGTTGTTATATTTGTTTTAGTGATTTGGGATCTCTCTTTGATTGATTCAACTCGACTGAAATGCTTGTTCTCTGTGGAGGTGTCAGTTTCTAGTACTAATTCTCTGATAATACTTTTAAGTTAACATGGTGTTATACTAACGAATCCCAGGTAGGACGAAACACATGGTCTGAATTCCGCTGCCAGCCACGGCTAAATGAGTAAGCTAAGTAGTGAAAAGTACTTATGTCTGATGAAATGAACTTTATTAAGTATGCGGACGATCTGACTATTTCAATGTCTGTTAATTCACAGCTAGACTGTACTAAGATGAACAGCTTTCTATTTAGAGTTACCAAATAGTCTTTGTCTAATGGTCCGTCTTAAACGAAATCCTTCCAAATATCAGACTGTGAATTCCAGTTTACAATGTAAGAGAAAGTAAAATGATGAAGCTGTTAATTCCTATGACCGTTGCAAAATTAATGATAATGATATAGAAACCAAGTTTGAAGTTAAGTATCTTGGATTAATTCTTTCTACTGACCTATCCTGGTCTTCCCATGTCTTGGCGATTTCTAAGAGAATATTTCGTCTGACTTTTTACATTAAGAAGTTAAGGCACTCAGACATAACTCAACTAACCCCTCCTCTTACAGTTTGTTAACTCGTGTATTTTACCTATCCTTCTTTACTGTTCACACTTATTCTTTCCCGGGTTGCTTAAAAAAGACTATGTCGTAGAACTCTGAAGACTGTCAGTCAGTAGGGCGAGTGGGCCATATCGTTGACATCGTCATTGACAGGTATTTGATGTCATACCTTGTGTCTCCTTAGATCAAACAAGAAGTCTTTTCAGAAGACTTTATGCACGTACGTCTAAGTATAGAAAATTCCACGATACCATATTTGGCACGTACTTTATGTACTTATGTGCCCCTAAACCTAGAGAAAGAAGGAACTTTGGGCGTGGGGCTAGCTACCCCACTTCACCGGGAAAATTAACACAGCGGCTAAAGAAACTTCAAACCAAAACTACAACAAAAAGCACAAACTTATTCTCCACTGGAATCAAAGAAAGGAAATGATTTGGGTTGGTTAAAGCCGTCAGGAAGCCAGTGACACAGCCGATATGTCTCCTTTCAATGAAAGTAAAAATAAGCATGATGACGCTGGAATAATCTCTACTTTGCTCGAAACTGGGATGCCTGCTCAGATTGCCAAAGAAATGAGAAGATAAAGCACAGAATTGCTGGGACTCTGTAACAGGAGATGGAATAGAAGGCGACAGTCCAAATTGTTAAATAGACAGTTAATAATCTACTCCAGTCATCAAGACAGCAACTGGAAGGCTATTGATAGAAAGGCCTCGGAAGCTCTTATGCATACATGTAGCCTTGTATCCTGCTAGGAACCTAGGAGAATGACATATATACATATATGTAAACATGCTTCTACACTACAGTGTTGAATGTCCCAGGTCTTTATCAACTTCATGCAATATCTCGCTATATGACAAAGTCTTCCACTTGTCAGGTGATCCACAACGGAAAACTCAGAGAAGCTTTTGAAGTGAATACAGGAGTTACACAGAGTTGGCCGCCTATCATCACCGATGATATTCTTAATTGTGGCGGAGTGGATTATGCGGATGACTGTATACAGGGAGTGAGAAGACAAGAATTCGTTGGGCTGTTAATAACAGTCTACAAGATCTGGATTTTGCCAGTGACTTATGTTTAATGTCACACAAACTCGAATACCTGCAGGCATAAAATCTAACAAACTGGATGAAGAGGCGAGGCACTCACCGAAGACAGGACGGCAGGTGAACATAGAGGAGACGGAGGTGATGAAGATAACCAACCACCGCTAACAGCAACAACAATCAGCACCAATCATTAGCAATGGGAGAGATTTAACAGAGGTTACTTCTTTCACTTATCTAGGAAGTACGGTTTCAACCACAGGTGACAAGACGGATAAAGTTGTTCAAGCCGGTCTTCAAGAATCGGAAAGGCAAGATACACTTCCATCAACCTGAAACCAGTTTGGAAAACGTCTGCACTCCATGTCATAAAGAACAAGATTGGGAATCTGTTCAACACAAATGTGAATTCACTCAGTGACTGCTTCTATATGGGTCAGAAACTTACACTGCGCGTGGATCCCGAAAAGAATTTCTAACAAACTACTGTAGACAGTTATCAACAGTTGCCCACTTCGCTGGCTCCATACTGAAGAACAAATGGCAAGCCTGCCAGCCAGAAGGAATTTGAGACAAATCAACCAAGAGCCGATGGCTTAACAAATATGTGGGGGAAATTGAAGATGGACTGCTTGAACATACGCCACTGAGAAGGCCGTCGATGACGTCGTGCGCAATGCAGGCTATCACTCAAGTGGAATCTGAATGGAAAGCGACGAGTGGATCGTCAGTGCGAAGGTGACATGGAGGAGATGGGAGACTGTAGGCAATCGTGGAGTTAGCCATCTGAAAAGGACAGCAGGAAATAGAATAGAGTGTAGATGTGTTGTTGAAGCCCTATATTCCACTCAAAACCCAAGGGAATAATAATAATATATCCAGTTAAGCCATGAGCACTGACGGACTGTAAAGTCTTCCAAACACGCCCTCAATGTGTGTTACATGGCTACAACCTCATTATTTTCAGGTTATAAGTAATTCACAAACAATATCTGGTAATAAAATTTAATTGGTAGATGGTGACTAGCAGTGGAATCCAGGATGCGCATTTCGTCCTAGTTAGGTCTCAATTAACATGACCCGTTGCACAAGAGGTGGCTCTAGTGCCCCAAGTGGTCTAGTGGATAACGCCTTGGCGTTTGAAACTATGGACACTGGGTTCGAGCCTCGGTGAGCACATCATCACTCACTGAGAAATGCAGGTACATCCAGTAGCTGATGAGTCCCAAATAGGACGAAATCAGAATCCTAGATTCCCCTGCTAGTTACCATTCACCAATTAAATTCTAATTAAATACCTAGACATCGTCGAAGCATCTGCACAAGAAGCCGACATTTCAACCTAAGACCGAGCACTTCGGTTCAATCAATCGACGGGAAAATCTGAAGTTCATTTAAAATATCTGATAATGCTTAACACATTCCACAGTCCTTACTATCGCAGCATTAATAGTATTAATCGCCTCAGCAGGGCAAATACGAAGGAGTCCTCTGCATATATATCTAATTTGCAGTAAGCAAACATCGACAAACAAGTACTTACCAAATGTTTAAATTTTTTATTCACTTCTCAGCAAATACTTTGAGCATCAAAATAAGGCATTAACAGAAAACCGAAAAAAAGTGAGCAGCCATCGGAATAAATAAAAAACAAAACAAAAAAACAAGCAAGACAGCATAAGAGAAGAATGTGATTCATTGTATTTGAAACAAAAACATCATGGATACTGACAATACGGTGGTACAGCATAATGTGGCATTTGTTGACCAACAACAGACGGGTTAAAATAATTCGGATTTGTTGGTGGCATTGGACATGGATAGGCTGTTGGCTGATTTGTTGGAAGACACTGGGGCAGTACAACAGGCACTGGAATTTGTTTGACTAAAACACGTGGTGGAGACAGAACTGGTAGAACTGGAGGACACCATGTTGGCATATTTGTTGGGTTTTGAAATATATTCGGATGTTGTTGTTGTTGCTGAGGGATGTTATCAGATAAATCTCTGCTGGTATTACACTTATAACAATCATCCTTGTCACTTAGCGTCAAATCGATTTTTGATCGGATTGGTAATCTTTGTTTCAGTTTCTTTTCAAGACGAGTCATTGATAAACCATCAAGTGCAGAGGGTTTTTCAACAGCTTTCAAGAGTTTCACAGTTTGTGGAGATAAGTATCGTTTAAGGTCAACAGACTTATTGTGTCTACTCCAGCGTTTTCGTCTTGATGAATCGGCACAACAGCGTTCTTTGTAAAGTCTACGTTTATCTGAACATATCTGTTCCAGTGTTCCCAAGATATCGTCTTCTTCAGTATCTTTACACTGGTGTAGGTAAGATGGAGGGGATTCTTTCACATGACAAAGGTATTCATGTCGACGACGATAATGACTTGGCCAGTAATCACGATGCTCTGGATGACAATGAACCCTTAGTGAAGTGTCATGTGATTCTGTGCAACCACACTTGCAGTGCTTCTCGTGTTTTGCATAACTACTAGAAGAATCTTCACTTGACGACTCTTCACTTGATGTTCTGTAGCCTTTTTCAGCGTGTCTCTTTTTGGAGTGCCTCTTTTTATCCTCTCTTCTTCTATGGGTAAATTCATGTTTTTCTCTAGACTTTAACTTGTCTTTCAATTTTCGATCGGGTTTACGATGAGCTTTGTGTTTCCTGTCTTCTTCGTCATCAACATCACGCTGGTCAAAATCTTCGTCATCGTCATCATAATCAGCGGAGTCATACCTTGATCTTGATGAAACCTTGTGCTTCCCACGAGTTTTAGCCTTAGTCATTCTTTTCATGCTATGCTCCTCATCATGGATATCATCTTCGTCACTGTCAACATATGAGGATGTTGATGTGACTTTCGGTTTCCGCCTTTTTCGCCACTCGTAAGCCGTGTCGTGATGTTTAGTGTGTTCCTTATCCTCAACATCCTCATCGCCTTCATCATCCTGTAGTTTTTGTCTCTTTTTAGACAGTTTAACAGTGTGTTTACGCTGGTCGTCAACATCACCCTTCACCTCTTCTTCTTCTTTTTTCTGTTTATGACTTTTGAACTTATCCATTCGCCGAGTATCATCGTCAACATCAGCGTCTTTAGCTGGTTTACTCCCTTTTCCCTTTTTGTCTTTTTCATCGTGACTGGACTTGAGCAGGTGACTTCTAATTTTTCGTTTGTTTGCATGCTCTGATGGAGTCTCATCATCACCGACATCATCGCCACCATCATCATCAGCATTAGTATCATGATCTGCAGTGTGTTTACCCTTATGTTTGCCATGCTTATCTTCTTCGACTGACTTGAATAGCCGACTTTTGCCCAGACCTTTTTTGTTAATATCATCCTGTTCACCTGTTGTATCAGTACTGCCTGTTGGTGACTGCTTCAATTGTTTAGGCTTTTGTTTTTTAAGTCGTTTCAAGAGATTTTTCTCCTTTCCAGCATGTGAAGTATCCTCCTCATGGCGGTCGTCTTCAACTTCAGCTGGCTTCTTCATAGAGTCTACGCCTTTACCAGCATCTTTCTCTTTAACCTGCTTCTTTTCACTCTTCGGCGTACTTGCTGCAATAGCAGAAAATAAACCGGCTTTATTTCCACTAGCCTCGTTTTTCTTGTTCGAGTTGCCATCCAGGCCAGTGGAAGCTTCTTCATGCGGAGTTGTTGCATTCTTCTGTTGTATTATCGTTTGTAAGCCTTCATTATTTTTTTTACTTTGGGCTTGATGATCAGTTTTCTTCAGTTTATGCTTACTTGTTAGCTTACTTGTAATTCCACTATTCATTGTCTGTGATTCACCTAACACATACCTGACAACATCACGTTTTGGTCGCGAACTTGTTGAATTGTTTTGAATTTTTTCAGTTAAAATACCGAAACAATAAGGGAATACATTACTGTTCTCTTGTTGAGCATATTTCACTTCGTTGGATATTGATTGCCCATAAGTTCCAATACTACCACTATCAGTCACCTTTTTACAAAGTTTTTTCGTGTATACATCAATTTCATTTTGATTCTGTTCATTTTGAATCAGAAAATGAATTATTTTGATAAATTTATTGAAATAATTCTTTAAATATTCATCCATTACTTTAGTAACATTATTTATTTGATATTTTTAAATCCAAAGCGTTCAGTTATTTTTCTTTTGTTTTAATCCATTAAATGTACAACCTTGTTCAATGGTCTCAAGGTCAGATTTAAATTCCATAACTTTAAAAAATAAAAATTATTATCTAGTTCTTAGATGAAAAATAAAATGTGAAAATTATTAATTAGGAAAAGAGAGATGTATTTTCCACAAAAATGAATCATCTGAGTGCATATTTAACCCATATTAATTAATATCTTCCTGATCGGATTGATTATACAGTGTAATGTGATTTTAAATCTAACTCGCTAGATCACGTGATTCAACATTTCGTTGAATATTGATTGATTAGTTAACGCGCCAAATAACGACCAATCAGAAACAAGGTCATGAAATCAGATAGACCAATAAATATTATTCAAGGAGAAATCAAAAGGCTTACAGCATATTGAATTTGCTCTGAAGATATTGTTTGGGAAGACAATGAAAGCTTGGCAAATAAACTGTTCACCTCAGGGGGCACAGTTTCACCAGCATCAGCACAGACATACGGATTGTAATCAAGATATGACCGATGGCTTCCACAAGCATTAAGCACCGACTGAAAAGTAGATATAAATAGAAAATATATTTGTATAAATCCTAGAGATATGGAAATAATAATTAGTTCCAATCATCCATTCTGCAAACTGGTAAGGAATTCTTTAGGGAAATAATGGAAGTTACAACAGTAAACGTAATAATATTGATCACAGCTTTATTCTGGACGATATCTTCACAAAATGTGCAAAATTCTCAGCGTAATTTATTGTATACTATTTTCTCTCCATCCAGGATCTTCAGTAAGATTAACGATCTTTGATATATTATATGACACAATACTTTGATTAGACTCTGGTAACTAGTGTGATGTGTCTAGTCCCTTTTGTTTGCGTGCAGATTGAATTCTATCAGTCAGGTTTGCAATGCGGCCACCATTCTTGGTAGCTCACCATCATGGTGCACTTTGAATTGTTGGTGTTCTATGGTTGGAGGCAATGGGCCAAAGGAAGCCTTGCCTGACCTAGGTTTCGTGCTAGTTGTCACTCACCAGTCAGCAAGGTATATCTGGAACCTTGAAGGAACTCATGTCCCTACTGAGATTCGAACCTGTGTCACCCACTGCTGCACTCAGACACTAGTCATTAGTGTCCAATCAAAGTATCCACTACAATCTTACAGAAGGTCAATCTCCAGACTGCATAGCTCAGTGGTAACGTCTCTGACTGCAGCACTTGGTGACGCGGGGTCGGATCACAGAAGGAAGATGAGTTCCTTCAAGGTTGTAGATACGCTGTCAAGGAACTTAACCCTAAGTTCCTATTATTTGCAAAGACACTCCGAATCGATAATTACTATGAACGATTATCGACTTTAACTCCAAAACACAAGGATCAATAAGAAATTATATTCTTCGGCAGTTAAATTCGTTATCCTTACAAAGTTTTTATTCGTATTCTTCCGTCTTCTTCCAACTTGTACTAGATTGAATCATTTGCGCCTTCGAGTTTCCCGCCAATGGCGACCAAGGTCAATGAACCAACGTTCAATGTTCACATTCATTTACGTACGCCTTGTTGACGAGTACCAACTAGCACGAAACCTATGTCAAGCAAGGCTTCCTGTGGCCCATTGCCTCCAACCATCTAATATATGATGCAGTGCTGTGTGATCTGTAGAACTGACCAATCCTCGAAGATATTTTTCCTTCGTCTCCGAGAAATGCTCACCTGTAGTTTTACAGCCAATTAAAAATGTGCTCAGACACATTTTGCTACTCAAAGAGACAAATGAATGGTTAAGACAGTAAAATTTAGAGAGAATATGATGTAATGAGTTGGCTGAGAATTCAGACAACCCAGTGATTCAAGGAGGCCGCCTTGTTAACCTTTGTTGCTTCGTATCTGGAAATAAATGTTTTCAGCTTTTCTAGAAATCAATGACATATTATAAGATGACCAGGGAAGCTAAGAGGAAAGATTTAGTCCAACAGATTTAACATTCGATTTAGTTTCTCCACTTCATTGCCTACTGTGATGCACGAAACATGGGAACGCAACTGAAAAATAACATTCTGACAATATTAGGAGGAATTTAACTGAAGACTATTCTACAAGAACCACTGAAAATAAATTGTGGAACAATCTGATTGCCAAGTAACGGACAAGCACACAAATAGTCAGACCATCAACATCCTTCGGAGAAACGATTTCATCAGAGTAAGGGGAGTCATGTAAGAAGAAATAAGAAGGTAAAGCAGAAAGAACGGCACTTTAAGAGACACTGGTTTCGATCAGACAATCAGTGGAAATCTTTCCTTCGTCTACTCTGCACTCCTTCCATTTGTCAATCCAGCGCTAAGTATGTGTAATAGCGAGCATACGTGTAAAACTTGGGAACTGTAGTAGTGTGTAATTCCGTACCAATGTGTTTATTAAATATACCACACCCAGTGAAACAGTATTATTTACTGGATGACAGGGTGTCGAACACAATTTATTGCCGTTCATAATCATATCAATAATAATCACACAACTTCGAAACTTGAGTTTTATAGTTATCTTTATTCTCTACTATTTGTCGTCGTAGGGGTAGTAGAATTTTTCAGATATCTGGCTGTTGAATCATTCCCATTACACGTCTTTGCAGTTGATTCGATAAACAAAGCTTCTGTTATCAATATACCTCCCACAGTATGTAAATTCCAAGGGCAAATATGCAAACAAACTGAGGGAATTTCCATAGGGTCAACAATATCCTGATCGTGGTAGATATATTCACAGATAGGTGGGACAACTTAGCGACTGAAACGTTCAGCTACACCTCGCGTCAAAGTATGTTGGATGTATTTAGATGAGACATTTACAGTACTTAGAACACAGGAAATAAATAGATTTTTTGAACACATCAACTCGAAGGTAGCAGCAATTCAATTCACTTATGATGAATTGGAAAGTCAGGAAGGGGAGATTACAATGTTAGATTGCAGCATAGAAAAGGAAAGTAGATGGGAAGTTAAACACTAGTGTGTGTTTAAAGGAAACCCACACATTCAAACAGATATTTGGACTTCCAATCATCCCATCCTATGTCAGTGAAAATAAGACTGATGAAATGTTAAAGTTAAAGAGCACACAAACTAAGTAGTACCAAGGAAAATTTAAGAGAGGAAGTGAGGCATATAAGAGAAGCTTTGAAACTTAATAATTACCCTGATATATTAGTCAGAAAGTATGTAGATAAATGTAAAAGTAAAATAAATTATAATAGTAGTGGTAACAATAATAATAGTAATAGAAAGATTAATGACGACATGCACGTCAAATATACGCAAGACAACACCAAAAATAAGGAATCTAAATCAACAGTAGTAATTCCATACAAAGAAGGAAAATCGCAAACCTTGCGCAGAATTCTTAACAAATTAGGAATAAAAGTGTCATTCAAACGCACCAACTCACATTTAGAAACACACTTTATCGGTTAAAGGATCAGTCCCGTGGAGCCAATTAAACAAAACAATTTAGTTTATCTAATACCCTGCCAGTTATGATTGTCAGGTTAAAATACATAGGTCAGAGTAGTAGAATAGGCTCAGTAAGTCAGACTAGCGGAGCACAAAACAGATAAATCTAGATTAGTTAACCCAAATAAGGTAACAAATCTGGAGAATAGTTCAGCTATAGCACTCACTACATGCAATTACACACAACCATACAATAGGATGTGATGGGATAAGGTGACAGTTTTAAAATCTAATGTCACATGGTGGAGGGAGAGATTGATAACAGAAGTTTTGTTTATCGAATCAACTGCAAATACGTGTAATAGGGAGGATTCAACACCTGTTCACCCAGACATCTGGAAAATTCTACTATCCCTACCTACGAAGGCGAATAGGAAAGAATTAAGAAAACTACAAAGCGAATGTATCGAAGATGTGTGGTTATAACTGATGGGATTGTGACCAATAAATTGAGTTTGAAATTTCGTCATCCAGTAAATAATAATACTGTTTCACTGACTGTGTGATACATCTAATAAACAAATTAATTTGGGATTCATAGCAAGGTTATTTAATAAATTAGGCCATGATTTACCTAGTAAGTTCACACGTGAATAAAGTGTCTAATATGCATGGTCGTGATTCTCTTGATCTTTTTCTTGTAATTACACGGTCTATATTGGTCACATGAATGGGCTGTTTAAAGTAATACTGTGATGGTGTGATACAGACAATGTGTGTCAACGGAATATTATTCTCACATATTCCCACGATTCAACTCGGCATTAACAACAGAATACGATATATCTATTTGAACATTCTGTTTGATGTTACAGACAGAATACATTTCCCAAGGTTATATACCAAATTAACAAAAAAACATTCTACTTCTTGTCGTTTGTTATTATTATTATTATTGCATCCTTTAATTCCTAGAGGAACATAGGGCTTCAGCCATGCGTCTCCATTGCGTTCAGTTCTCTGCTAGAGTCTTCACCTGGCTCCATGTCCGCCCACATACTTTCATCTCCTCTTCACATGACCTCCTCCAAGTCAACCTCGCACTGACGACCAACTCGCCGCTTCCCTTTCGGGTTCCACTCGAGCAATGGCTTGTCTAGTGATGTCACTTGATGGTTTCCTTAGAGTATGGCCAGCCAATCCATCTCCATTTCTTCCTGCATATATGTTGCACAATCGGTTCCCACTGAGTTAGTTCGCTCCCAGAGATCCCTGTTGCTGATCTTTTCTGGCCATCTGATCTTGAGTGGTATTGAGCGAAGACAACTGTTAATGAAAGTCTGTAGTTTGTTTGAGGTGCTCTTTATGACGCGCTGGCCAAGTCTCTGATCCGTATGGTAAGTAGCACTGACTTCACATTGGAGTTGAAAATCCAGATCTTATTTTTGATGCTGAGTAGGGCTGTTGACCTCCACACAGACTTGAGAGTAGTGAAAGCTTGTCTTGCTGTTTCGATTCTTGCTTTGATATCCTCGTCAGTT